TATATATATATATATATATATCAGGCGCAAACCAAAGTGCCTCTTCGGATTGAATTTGGCCCAATGCAATGGGTCACACATATAACTTCCCTATCTTTGCTTCAAACTTGTTTATCTCGTCCATCATAAGACACCGAACAAATCATTCGGTTAACAGCTGACTGGCGGAAACTTGATGACCGGACAGCTGTCAGGTTGCTCAAACAAACAGGGAATGCCGGAGTTGGTGGTATTGCACCACCCGCAGCGTCCCTCAGTTGTGAGCTCTGCGTTTACGATAGATATCAATCGGCCTTTCATAGAGTTGAACGCTGAGCCGTAAATTTTTTCGATATCCATGTGAGACTAAATGAATATCCCGTTCAGGCTATTCTATGCGCAAGGTTCACCTCAAGTTTGATTTCGGACCTTTTCCAATATATCTTTCTTAGGTGTGATATGCTGCTCACCAAACTGATAAAGAGCCACCCAGTTCTGATTTTTCCTTATTTGAGACCCTGAATATCTTAAACACGCGATTTCACTTGGGTCCCGTGCTAGCGCCTCAGCCTAGTACGGTCGTCATTTGGCACCTGCGCGTCCGAACACAGCCAATTTGTTGGTAGTGTGAGGAGATTTCGGAATTTTTAGTGGAGCTTTTCACTCTGTGCCGAAAATCTGAAAAGCCACCATGAACCTGTTTCACCTTTATTGAGGATTGTTAGCAGCACGCATTTCACGAAACTTCAGAAGGTTTTTATCAGGAAGGTCACATTCCTGAAAGCAACCACTGAATGCTCGAAATCTACCGAGACCCTCAGCTCCGCTAGATGTTGACCAGACAGACAACGCCCGCTCAATATGCAGCGCTTCACAGCCTTGTATCAAACCCAGACAGCGCGAGTCAGCGTTGATCAAGGTCAGGCAACGCCCCCTCAATATGCAGCACGTCGCAGCCAGACCGTGTGCGTCAGCATTGGACCAAATTCAGACAGTGTCCCTCCAATAAATAGCTTGGGGCCGTTGTACACTGGCACTCGCACGCACTCACGCTCTCGCACTCGCTTGTTCGGAATACAGCTGTTGTGTTCTCTTCTGTGAGTCTTTTTCCTCCGGCACTAGGCACTGGAGCGGGTCAGAAGCAGATGCCACAGATTGGCGAATCAGCAGCAGATATAACAGTTTTGGACCCGCGACCTCCATACAGGTGATTGAAAATCCAACCGTTGGCCACGAGCAGCTGATCAGCAGTGTGATTATCTCGCGCTTAGACAGGATATAGTGCCACTTATCCCCCAATCACGGAATTCACATCACGTGCTCATGTGTTGGCTTGCTTCTCGAATGATGGCTTCTCAGATGGAAGGTTCACTCGTCGCGTGACTTATTCTTTTTTTCTAACGTTTGAGTGCGAGTTAATCACATTGCTATTCAACTCGTGGTCCAACGACTAGATATTCTGTCTACCAGCCAAGTGGCCGGTGGTTCGAAACCTCTTCGGGTGTCATGAGATGCGTACTACTGATTTCCAACAGGGATATAACAGCGGTACAGTGCCTCTCGACTTTTCAGCACTTAACACCATTTTGGACAGAAACTGATAACTTGAACTTCCTTAATATCAGTTTGTATTCGTATGTTGTAACAGCATAAACGAAAAACATGGATGCCTATGGGAGTCCGATCCTCAGAGGATCGCGCCAACAGCAGCAACACTAAGTGGCTCATGTCCGAGCCAGCTGTTCTCAAGCTGCCACCCTGTTGTGTTGGTTGGGTTTCAGTGCTTTGGTGGCCCTGCGAGTAACATTGATTAGAACTCAGTCCATAATATTCGGCCTTTCCAGAAAGACCGATGGGGAGCCACGAACGAAGGACACCTACTGGAAATAACTTCACGAGGTCGTCTTCAGGCAAGGTCCACTGTGACAGCAGTGTGTGGACTGCAATCAGTTTCCCCCAGGTGACCATGGGATTAGCGGTGCTACCTTCTCTAGAAAAGTTTGGCCCTGAAAACCGCGCAGTTCAATCGCCTGACGCCTAACCGTGACCACCGGCGCATTATCCAATACGGTTGAGGTTATTCAAAAGTTAAGATGCCGGTGCTCTTCCTCATATGCCAACCACAATGACATGAATGAGGCTTCCATGTCACAATCCCACCCTCAGACTACATCTGCCCTTTACTACCTTGCCGGTCAGACTTTGAAGTCAGGTACTGGGAATGGGATATCCGTAACAGGTAGAACTTTAGAAAGTCCCACCTCTCCACACCCGTCGCGGATTATGAATAAAGGTTTGTCTCCTCCCACTACTTCGGAGCTGGGACGTGAGACCCAAAACCCTGAAAAGACCTTAGGTGCTACTGGATAGACCTCGCCGTACCTTGTGACCCGGTTGGCTCATCACGGATAGCCATAGTAGACGAGGTCTTGTTACCTTTTGCTACAAGGAAACACGTCGGGTTCGCAGTTGCAAATCGTGTGGGTCAGAGAGCAATGGATTAATCGTAATGCATCAACTTAGGGTTATTGCCACCCGCTTCCGACTGTAGACAGACCATTTGCCACCTTTCAATGAGCAGCTCTTTATCCCATCTCCTCGGTGAACGACACTGTGGCAGCTAGAACCACTGTACGGCAAGTACGCGGTCCTTATAGTTGATGATTTACCACCTTTATTAGTGTGTCCACAATGTTACGCTTACATAAGCTAATGGAAATATTCTACGACCAGCTATCGGACCTGATCAAGTCGGTACTTCGAAGCTACTCCCTCTTCCCGTTGCGCGATTTCCGCGCATGGTTGGCAAGGACTGAGGGAATTTGGAAGGAGGTAATGATCGTCCAGCTGTAACAAACACCCTTTCGATGCATAGATGCCGTTCCACCGGAAGGAAGCACAAGGTTGTTGCCCAAGCCTAGACAGTCATCATCATCAAAGGTTGTTGAGCCTAGACAGTCATCATCATCATCAGTGTTTAACACCGATGCTTCGCTGCCGTCATCAATCATCATCATCAACGACAGCCAGCAATCAGTGTTCAGCACCAATGCTTCACTGCCGTACAACCA